GGCCCACCCTGAGGACCTCATTTTAACCTGATTATATCTGCAAAGACCCTATTTCCAAATGAGGTCACATTGTGAGATACTAAGGGTTAGGACTTCAGCATGTTTATTTTTGTTGGGGGAGCACAAATTCAACCCATAGCAATGCCTGGTTATTCTTTGAACTTAAGCTTTCTAGCTACAAATTGTTGTTCTTCCTGTGGAATATTCCATCGATTAAATTGCATCTTTAGTTCTTCAGCTATCAGATGCTTTTCTCTGGCAGACTGATGCAATTAGGGAACTAATAACTGAATCAATAATGAAAGAGCATGCTCTTTCATGCTTTCCAGCTGTTCCGATGATTCATTTAGGACTCCTCCTGTGTTTGTTGCTACTGAATATATGATTGATAAGAGTTACGTAGCCACAGCATATAGTGCAAGAAGGGGAAGAAGAGGGTCTGGATTGGTCCCTACTAATGCCCAAGGGTGACATCTCTGCTGGGAGGGGACCTCTTAAGGAGGATTCAGAGGAGAACATGGCCTTATTTAGGTAACTTAGGACCAACAAGGAATGTTGTTTAAAGATGTGTATTATTTGGAAAACACACTTTATTTTAATGTTGCATGAAATATTGGGTGGAAGCCATGTAGGACCGTATGAACGCCATGTGAGCTGATACATTGCCTATTCAAGGAAGGAACCAGCACTATCCATGAAAATGTCTGTGAAATAATACTTTTTGGGAAATCCAATATTTCTTTGTCTAATTCTAGTTACCTCATCAAAAAAAATGGGACTTTAATTCTTGGCCTTTTAAGGGGTCCTTTGAGATAGAAATATAAGATATACATTATAATCAGAAATTTACTATCATAAAAATGTAAATTAAATAAAATGTAGGCTTATATTGCTATTGAAATATAATACATATTCATTGTAAAAAAATCTGAAAATGATGGAAAGCTTTAAAAAATATATAAATTATCCATAATCTCACAGTTCAAAGATGACCACTGCTAATATTTTGGCATATTTCCTCCTAATGTGTTTCAAGATTTTGCACTATTTTAAATAACATTGATATCAGTATATACATGTTTTTAAATATATTTTAAATGATAACATGTCACAATAATTTCAATATCATTGAATAATCTTTCAAAATTTATGATTAAATATACACCTATGTGTTTCAGTTCCAATGTTAGAACTTTAATTTTTTAATTACAAAAGTAATACTTGTTCACAATAATTTTCAAAAGTCTAGGTGATCAAAAGAAGTAAAAACTACCTACCCACAGTCTTACCATTGCAGAGATAACTAGTATTCATATCATGGCATACATTGCATGGTAGTGTAATTGTATGCATTTCTGTCTTCCACTGATCACAGCATTTTTTACTTTTTGTAGCTCAGGTCTTAGTTCAGTTCCTACAGCATAGTGGTTGTTTGATATACTTTTGGTGAATGAATGAATGAATGAATAATTAAATGAAGAAATGGATGAACAAACACATGGACGGAGAGGCTGCAAAGATTCAACTCATGGTAGAATAAAACACATTTCAGACTCAGCAACTTACTGCAGATTGAGAGACAAGGTAGCTAACCCAAGGCCCTTAATGAATAGGAGCCTGCTCTTTCTGTTCATGTGAATCAGCCTCTAGGCAGATAATTCAATTTAATTTTTTTCCCATCATTCAAACTGAAGAGCTGAAAAAGCAAAACCAGAGACGGGAGGCAGGCAGTAGAACTGGCTTAAATGAGAAGATCAGCAGCTGCTCTCTGTGCCCTCTGTGTTAGGAAGAGCATGAGATGGCAGGAGCCATGCTTCTCCCAAGTGTGAGCCTCAGCCAGACCTCTGCCACCACCAGTGTCCTGTTGATGGAAGGACTGGTGATTTCTCGGAAGACTGAGACTCCAGCAGTGTCAGTGTAACCCTCGTGTCCTTGACCTGGCCTGTCTGTAGAGTTTGCAGCAGAGGAAGACACAATCATGCTGGGTTTTATTGAAGGAATTTGGGACTCTGTTATGATTTAAATCAGAGCTGACAGAGAGTCTGATCTTTGGGTCATAGAAGGTTCCAGCCAAGGTCTCTTTTATATTTAATTGGAAAACGTGTGTCTTAAGTCTGAGCATCCATCCCTCAGACACCTGCCAGGAGGAGAGTGATCCATTTTTTTAAACCTTAATGGAGAACTCAGTCTTTGCAATAAAATGTAGGGACATATTCTTACCAATGGATTGGTCTTTTCCTCATACACCTACTCCTTCCTCCCACCTCCCAGTATAAACATGCATGCAGATAGACATAGAAACATCCTCGAATAGGTTTAAGGACAGATAGATAGAAAGAGAGACAGAAGAACAGACAGATGATCTCTACCTCTTTTGGCCAACAATAGTCATGGCCTCCCTCCTTTCCCTTAAAAGCTCTCACACAGCCAAGCTCAAAGACTAGGTGTATTGGCACCTTGCTCTTATTGTCTCCCCCACCCAGAAAATCTCCATCCTCCTTCTCTCTTGTCCACACCACCTATCTTTAGAGGCCTAGCTCAAGACATATTTTTCCAGCAAACTGTTCCCATCCTCTCACCCTCTAGAGCTTTAGCTTCTGCCCCATTTTTCCCTTTGACACTGTGTACTGGGATGCATATGTGAAGGTCAGGGAGAGATGAGCCTTTTTGCTTCCTGGAGAATTGGATGTGGTCCATCCTGTGTGCTATGTAATTTAATGGTTATAGAGCTAGTAGTGTTTTATTCACTAAGTTGGTGAATCTAGAAAGTGACTGGAGGGCAATGGGAGTTTGCCCATGTGCATAATTGAACACACATTATAGTTTGACTATCTTACAGTGTATTCTGAGGATAAAAACATATATATGCATGTACATATCTACATAACTATATACATATATATATAATTATACACACATATATAAAACTATACTTATATAGATATATTCCTACATATATACATATATATGTGTGTGTATATATATATAAAACTATAATTTACTGGACAAAAATACTTTTATGGTGCCACTGTTCAGTATATATTTGCCAAATTAAATTTAAATGACCCAAAACTTTCATGAGCCCCACAAAGCTTCTTTGAGATTACCAGAAATTCATACAAAAAATTATTTCTGTATGGGTTGCAAAATTATAGACTTAGAACTTTACAGATGGCAAAGTTATCTGGGTGTGGTATGCTGGAGAGAGCAGCTATTAGGGATGTGACCATGGGAATATATTTCACCTGGTCCCATTTCTATAAACTTGAGGGCTGCCTACCTGGCTTTCTCAGTTTTCCCACCTGTAAAAGTTGGTGTAAAAAACAAAGATGGTGGAATTCTCATGGTAAATTTACTACATGATTCCATGGAAGGAGACTTGATTCAGAAAACTTAAATCCTAGTTTCTTTGACCAAAACTTAACTTCTTCAAAATTTTCATAAACTGTGAAATAGAAGATTTATGTGCTTACCTGTTATGTGCCTGAAATCCGATTCCATTAGCCATGCAGGGGATTAATTTTTTATTTTGTCTTTCCAAAGTCCTGAGAATCATCTGGAATCTGTTTTCATTCCATGAGTTGCTATCCATCATTATCTGCTTGTTTTTTTTTTTTTAATTTTAATTTTTTATTTTAAAAAAAGTTTAGAGAGGACAAGTGTTTTTGTTACATGGATCAATTGCATCATGCTGAAGTCAGGGTTTTCAGCGTACCCACCATAAGAATAGTGTACATTGCACCCAGTAGGTAGATTTGTATTCCCACCCCTCTCTCAGCCTCCCCCCTTCTCTAGTTTCAATGTCCATTACCCCAATTTGTGGCTATACACACACACACACACATACACACACACACACACACACATACATACATATATATCCCTCACTTAGCTTTCACTTGTAAATGAGAATATGTGGTGTTTTTCTCTTCCTGAGATACTTCACTTAGTACAACGGCCTCCAGTTCTACCCCAGTTGCTGCAAAAAACATTATTTCATTCCTTTTTATGGCTGAGAATTATTCCATGGTGTGTGTGTATGTGCACATTTTGTTTATCAATTCATCAATTATTGGACACTTAGGTTGGTTCCATATCTTTGATTATTGATTTATGCAACATATATTTAATGAAAACTTTATATGTATTCAAGGAATATAAACACAACTAAATAGCATAGGCAAATCTGAAATACATAACCATATACTACCCTGTTATAAATGCTCAGTGGAAACAAGTGATGAGAAGGAAGAAAGATAAGCGGGCTGAAGTGGTCAGAAAAGGCTTTGTGGAGGAATCTACATTGGTGCTTGCCCTTCATGGATGGGTAAACTTGACATAGACATAAGACTGGCTTATCCTTGCCATCTTACAGAGACATGGGAGTGTAAATGAGTCTGGTATCTTTGGTGGCATTGGAGAGCTCCATTTCATTTGGATGGTATTAATATATAGGAGCAGTACGAGATCAAAAGGAAAGATCACAACATTATGCATTTAATATTGGCTCACATATTAGCTGATGAGTGTTTTTATGTGTATGTCCATTTTTTCCTGGGAGAACAAAATCCGCCTCCCCCTTCTGTCCATGGCCCTCAGAGTGCCTTACGTGTAAGAGTTGTTCAATGAACTATTTTAAAATAAGAATTGTTGAATTGCTTTAATTGTAACCTGAGACTACCTGGAATTTGAAGAAAAAAGAATGCAATGTTACTAAAAGATTTACCTGTAAAGGAAAAGGCAAGGATGGCCATTGCAAGTGGATTTATACTCAGCTCACAAATATCAGTTGATTGGATACATATTGAGTAGATAAGGTGACAAGTACCTTTTCTACTTTGTGGCACAGTCATAATCCTACATTTTTATCTGGATAAAATGGATGCCCAGTAGGGTGTATAAGGCACCGTGGTGTTGGCATGCTCTGGGGGAGGACACCTACATTCATGTTCAACAGTGGTTCTTGCAACTTATGTTCTCCTCACTTCCTTGTTTTGCAGCTCTACAGCTCCATGGACTTTGGAAGACGGTGGCAACTGATGCATGAACGAATCACACCCAACAGGTTTTATTGGTAAGTCCCATCCACACACTCATCACCCTCTTGGATAAAGAGTTATCAGACAGCATAGCACTTCGGACAATGCTGGACACCTTCAGCACTTGGACACAAATGTGTTCTATCCCTTTGCTACGCAAAGGGTGGTCCATGGAACGGCAGCATTAGTGTCACCTAGGAACTTGTTAGAAATGCAGAATCTCTGGCCCCATCAAGAACTGTGGAGTGGAAATTTGCATTGAACATGATCCCTTGGTGACTTGTGTGTATATGAAAGTTAGAGAAGCATTGGGCTAGAGAGCTCTATGAGAAGGTTCATGGTCAGGTGCTCTTAGCTGCATACTAACCTCTCCTCTTTTTAGAGAAAGATATATTTTATATAGGTATTTTAAAAAGCAACATTTCCCAAAATGTACTATGAAGAACAATAATTCCACAAAATGCTGCTTTTTTCATGAGAGTTTCTGTGGTCAAATAAATTCAGGTAATGATTATCCAGCTCCACACCTGGAGATTTATGATCACGTTAGGACATCAAAGACTCTGGAGAAACTCTGCGAGGAGAAGCCTGCCAAACTTTCAGTCTCTGATTCCTAGACTTATCTCAGCACAGGATTCTTTCCTCATATTATCTCACCTGATAAAACTTTCAGAACTACCTCTGTGGTGCATATTTTGAAAAATGAGTATCCAGATGAATTTCGGGAAAAAAAGAGTGATACATGTTTCAAATGGAATATTAGCCCTTTCTCCTAATTAGAAAGTGTTTTCTTGATTATTTTTCCTTTATACATGCATACTACTTTTACCTTGGTTGTAAAAATTTTAGTATAAATTTCCCTTTTACATTTCTCCGCTATGACATGAAAATACTTGTTTTTTATTTTCATTTCAGCAGAGGTGATGGCCAAAGACATAAAGATTAAGAAGCATACACCAAAGTGTATATATTAATAGTATGCTTAATTATATGTTTAATTAAAAAACAGAAACAAAATATTTGAAAGTAGCACCTAGTCCATGTCTCTTTTTAAATATATTATTTCAATTGCCTTTGAAACTCACATGATAGCCGTTTGTGCCTTACACAATGTGTGTGTGTGTGTGTGTGTGTGTGTGTGTGTGTGTGAGTGTATTGGGGTGGTGGTGACAAGTACCTTATACACATGGAAGCAATGGCTTCAACCAGTCCCCTCTGCACCCACGAAACTATGTCCACAATCAAAAATAATGATTGCTTGAGCATACTATGAAAGTCAACTGTGTTTTGTTGTACAGAGTTCAGAGTAGCTGGGAGAGAAAAGAGAGTGTGGTGTATGGCTCTCCACTCAACACCTGTACTATTCCCAGTATTCTTGTCCCTTATACACCAACTACTATTTCTTCTGTAACTATTATTATAACTATTACTTGGTATGTGTTGGAACTATCAAGATTTTTCAATAGACTAAGGCAGAAAAAGGACACATTTGTTTCTCTGACATTCTAGCTATGTAACTACAGCCTTTGCTCAGCTGACATGGGACAATTTCTTAGTGTGCCATCACTCAGAAGTCTCTCAAAAAAGAAAAGGAAAAAAAAAGCCCTCTGCTGTTTCTGGAACACACTCTTGAGATGGTACGGCAGTCGGCCAACTAGGAAGTCAAGTTGATAGAGAAGGCGATCACGGCAGGCAGGATGAGCCTTGTCATCATTTCTGAAAGAAATTAAATTAAGTGGATGAGGGACAGCAGTTTCCTAGCTTTTGCAAAGAGCAAGACGAGAAGGTTCCAGCTGCTATCTCTCCCTCTCGCTTTGTATAGCAGAAAGTATAAATCCCCAGGTCCTGATAATTGTGTTTCCTCTCTGCTCCGCTCTGTGCTTCTTTCATGTATGCCCCCATGGGGAAATATAAAAGTTAGTGCCCGTGCTGGCTAGCCAAGTGGTAGCTGAGTATTCCAGTTTTGTAATTATCACTTCTCCATTTCTGATGTATAATTGCTGTGATTATTCTTTTAGATGCCATAGAAGTCACAGAGGAAGAGCTCATTTTACATAGACCTTTTTTTCTTCCCAAAGACAGAATTCAAGGTTGTCTAAAGCTCTGAACCACTTTATTGAAGAGACACGGCTCGTATAGGTTAGGGGTGGAAATACTAACTTGTTACATCCTTGAGAAAAGACAAAATGTGCATTTCTCTAGGTATAGAGCAACCTCTGGCTGAAATGGGGCCTCTTTAACCTGTGGTCTCCTCATCCATGTAATGAATGGGCACAATATTTTTCTTGTCAATTGCATAAAGTTATTGAAAGGACCAGATGCAATCAAGTGGACATTTGGCAGTTTCACTTCTCCATTGCAGATTTACAACTTGTAAATTATAACTCTTAGAGTACTGTGTTTTTAACAGTCCTCAAGAATAACACACATAAGTGATTTGTCATTTTGCTGGTGCACAAATGTGAATCCCATAAAGAATGAGGCTGCATGCCCACAGGCCTATGATAACAGCTAAATGCATCTAATTTACTGCCAAGAATCCACATCTTAGCCTAATGTTATTGTTCTCTATCCTTTGTTGAGTTATAATTCTTAAGAAATGATAAAAATAAAATGAAACAAAACAACAAAATGCTCTAAAACTACTTCTTTGGGAGAGAGAGGGTACCATGAAGTGGTCTTGAAGAGGGTACGGGAATGTCGTGGGGGAAGCAGGCATGCCAAAAATGAGACATTGAAATGAGAGATGATGTTAAAAAGACCTTAATTTGTGGTATGTCGACAAACAGAGTGAACATGTGATTCAATAGAAACATTGTTCAACTGTTTTTTTAAATATTTTTTATTAATTTCAGCATATTATGGGGGTACAAATGTTTAGGTTACATAATTTGCCTTTGCCTTGCTGGAGTCAGAGCTGCAAGGGTATCCATCCACCAGACGGTGTACACCACACCCATTAAGTGTGAATATACCCATTCCCTCCTCCCCCCGTCACCTGCCCAACACCTGATGAATGTTACTACTATATGTGCATATACGTGTTGATCAGTTAATACCAATTTGATGGTGAGTATATGTGGTGCTTGTTTTTCCATTCTTGTGATACTTCACTTAGTAGAATGGGTTCCAGCTCTTTCCAGAATAATACAAGAGGTGCTAGATTACCATTGATTTTGTGGCTGAGTAGAACTCCATAGTATACATAGACAACATTTTATTAGTCCACTCATGGATTGATGGGCACTGGAATTGTTTCTTCATATTTTCAATTGTGAATTGTGCTGCTATAAATATTTAAGTGCAGTTGTCTTTTTTATAGAATGTCTTTTTTTCCTTTGGGTAGATGCCCAGTAATGGGATTGCTGGATTGAATGGTAGTTCTACCTGTAGCTCTTTGAGGTATCTTCATATTACTTTCCACAGAGGTTGTACTAGTTTGCAATCCCACAAGCAGTATATGAGTGTTCCTGTCTCTCTGCATCCATACCAACATTTATTGTTTTGGGACTTTTGATAAAAGCCATTCTCATGGCAGTTAAGTGATATCTCATTGCGGTTTTAATTTGCACTTCCCTGATGATTAGAGATGTTGAGCATTTTTTTATATGTTTCTTGGCCATTAGTCTGTCTTCTTTTGAAAAGTTTCTGTTTATGTCCTTTGCCCACTTTTTGATAGGGCTGTTTGATTGTTTTCTTGCTGATTTTCATGAGTTCTATATAGATTCTAGTTATCAGCCCTTTATCAGATGTGTAGCATGTGAATATTTTCTCCCATTCCATAGGTTGTCTGTTTTCTCTCCTGATAGTTTCCTTGGCTGTGTAGGAGCTTTTTCATTTGATCAGGTCTTGTTTATTTATTTTTGTTGCTGTGATTGCCTTTGGGGTCTTCTTTATAAATTCATTCCCTAGGCCAATGTCTATAAGAGTTTTTCCAACATTTTCTTCTAGAATTCTTTTTTTTTTTTTTTTTTTTTTTTTTTGAGACAGAGTCTCACTTTGTTGCCCAGGCTAGAGTGAGTGCCGTGGCGTCAGCCTAGCTCACAGCAACCTCAAACTCCTGGGCTCGAGTGATCCTTCTGCCTCAGCCTCCCGGGTAGCTGGGACTACAGGCATGCGCCACCATGCCCGGCTAATTTTTTTATATATATATCAGTTGGCCAATTAATTTCTTTCTATTTATAGTAGAGACGGGGTCTCGCTCTTGCTCAGGCTGGTTTTGAACTCCTGACCTTGAGCAATCCGCCCGCCTCGGCCTCCCAAGAGCTAGGATTACAGGCGTGAGCCACAGCGCCCGGCCTCTTCTAGAATTCTTATAGTTTCATGTCTTAGGTTTAAGTCTGTTATCCACCATGAGTTGATTATTATGAGAGGTGAGAAGTGTGGATCCTGTTTCAGTCTTCTACATATGGCTATCTAATTTTCCCAGCACCATTTATTGAATAGGGATTCTTTTCCTCAGCATATTTTTTTGTCTGCTTTGTCAAAGATTAGATGGCTGTATGAGAATGGTTTTATATCTGGGTTCTTGGTGCTGTTCCATTAGCCTATGTCTCTATTCTTATGCCAGTCCCATGGTGTCTTAGTTACTATAACCTTGTAGTATAGCTTAAAATCTGGTAAATTGATACCTCCCAGTTTGTTCTGTTTGCTTAAGATTGCTTTTGCTATACTACAGTGCCTCTTCAGAGGAATGAGAGTTAGTTACAGGACCCCAAAACAACATTGCACCTTGTTCCTCCCAGCAAGCACCACTTACTGACAGAGGTCAATTTGCATGCCTGTTTACACATTTACTGACTCATCACACAGTGTGTGGTGGAATCTCACCCACAATCACCACATACAGGCTCAGAGACTAAACTGGGCGTGTCATTCTATAAATGAAAACCCAAAGGTAAGAAGGAACAGCTGCTCCAGATGGGAAGGAATCAGAGAAAGAACTGGAAGTATGAAGAATCAAACTGAAAGGACACACCCAAAGGGAAACACCAGCTCTCTAGCAATGGACATCAACCAAATTTAGAACACTGAA